CTTTTTTTTTTTTTTTAATTTTTTAATGTTTATTTATTTTTGAGCACACGGGCACACGCGCTCATGAGAGACAGAGAGAGAGAGAGAGACTGAGCAGACAGAGTATGAGCAGGGAGGAGCAGAGAGAGAGGGAGACACAGAATCCAAAGCAGGCTCCAGGCTCTGAGCTGTTAGCACAGAGCCCGACGCGGGGCTCGAACTCACGGACCGTGAGATCATGACCTGAGCCGAAGTCGGACACGACCCAGGCGCCCCTGAGTCTCTGTTTCTCTGGTGTGAGTATCATTTCTCTTTCCCTCTTCCAATGTCTTTCCTGTGTCCGTGGCACCTGTTCCTATTTCTTGTCTTTCCCTTTTCCTTGCCAAGTCTGCTGCTGCCAATCTTTTTCTCACCCTCCCATTTTAAGCCTCTCCGGTCTTATTATTGCTAAACTTGCCCTTTCCTTGAACCCTCAATACTCAAGTTAATTCTATGTAAGCAAATATAATCTTTCACAGATTTTATGCAAATATATTTTCTATATGCAAATACGTATAATTACATTTTATGCAAGCATATTTTATGCATAACATTAAATGTTTCCTGAGATTTATCTTAAAAATTAGTTTAATCTTGTATCAGTCTCTTAAAGTCTTCAAGTTTTAAGTTGTTCTTTATTTTATTGGAACCCTCAATCACACTTAATTTCTCTGCTTTCATGCAAATTTTATTCAATTAAAATGAAAGTTAGGTTCTCTGTATCATTAGAGTACCAGACTGTAGTAGTTGAAACTTCTACAGTGGCAATATACTCATTCAGAGCAATTTCTTTTTCTCCAGGATCACTATTTTATTGAATTTTTCCGGTACACCAAAGATCACCCATCCAGGGGACTATAGACATGAAGCCAACATACCCCAAGGTTGAAAGACAGAAACAGAAAGAGCAGTGTGAGGGTGTGTGTGTGTGTATGTGTGTGCGCACACGATGTGTGGGGTTGGAAGACAGGTGAATTCGGTACATGATTTCTTGGAAAGACTTGAGACAGCTAAACAAATATTTATGTTAACGAAGGTAAATACAGTTTGCTTAATTTTTTCTTTCTCATATACTTAACAATTTCAGAATACATTTTAAGCTTTTATTATAATTTATGAGAAGTAGTCCTCTACCTTGAGCAATTATTACCTGTTTCTCAGTTAAAATCACTCTCCTTAGTAACTGATTTTCAAGGCCTTTCATGGTGACAGTAAAATCAATGACTGATGTTTTAGCATTGATCTCAGGGGTGAAGGCAGGGTTTGGTAACTTTGTAGTAATATAAAGTTTAAATGTATCCATGATATCGCATTCCTTATCACCGACTTTCACCTATATCAATTCAAATACACAATCAAAAAACAGCTTAAAGGACAGGGAAAGGAATCTGGGTTTAAATTAGGAAAGAATTTAACAGAGGTCAGCGCTGGGAAATTTGGATGAATTGCAAAGGAAAAAGTTGTAAAACTTTAATCACTGATCTTAAATAATTAAATAATGTAGATTTGTGGTCCTGCCCGAAGATGTTGTTAGCCGTGACACCAAGCAAAGTAAAAGAAACATTTATCCCAAACAAATGTTGCCTAAGGGAAAACACAGACACATCCCAGATTTGCCCGTTTTCTCCCACTTGAGGAAATTGTTTCCTACTGAGGAAATCTGTGGTGTTTAGAGGAAGTGTTATCCCTCTTTGCATTTCACAGTCCTCAAAGAAGCATACTTGACAACCGAAAAGATTAAAGAAATTTTCAAAGGAAAAAAATGCCAACATTTTATCCAGAGAGATAACATTTATCTTAGACACTACAATTTGCAGTATATTTAAAAACACCTGGTTTCGCTATCTAAAAGTGAGGTGGAAATGATACCATTTGTAAAGGACTTAAATTTTTAATTAATCTTGATTCTACCTGTGGTTGGAAATCACATCAATAAGGCACTCCCACAGTTTCAAGCCCCATGCCTTCACACCACAGATAAGGATCTGTTCTTTTGAAAGACCTTCAGGAAGACCTTCAGGAAGACCTTCAGGAATAAAAATCCTACACCCTCCTTTGGCATGTTAAATAAGGCATATAAAAGAATTCACATTATGAAAAATATTTTCCTAAATAAAATTTTGTTTAATGAGAAAATCTGCATTCTTTACTTATTCACTGATATTCATGAAATTAAGTTGTCCAAAGTGAAAAATCTCAATCAGAAATGTTGTCATTCATCAAGAAATAAAACCAAAGAGGGGCGCCTGGGTGGCTCAGTCAGTTAAGCGGCCGACTTCAGCTCAGGTCATGATCTCTCGGTCCTTGAGTTAAAGCCCCACGTCGGGCTCTGTGCTGACAGCTCAGAGGCTGGAGCCTGTTTCATATCCTGTGTCTCTCTCTCTCTGACCACCCCCCCCCCCGTTCATGCTGTCTCTCCCTGTCTCAAAAATAAATAAAACGTTAAAAAAAATTAAATGTTTAAAAAAAATAAATAAAACCAAAGAAGCCTAAAGGTAGAGAATGCCACAATTAAAAAAGAAACACTTCTGAAAATGATTCATGTCACCAACGATGGGAAACAGCAATCCATAGCTTCTAGCAAAGTCTGTGAGTTTAAACTGAAAGTTAATAAAGAGAGAAATGAACAAAGAAATGTTCATAGACTGTATTAAAATGCCATTTTCTCCAGTGAGAACACAGAGGTTTTATTGTATAGATGAGAATATGGCTTATAAATCCAATTTTCTCAGAGCTGCTAACATACAAACATATATATATATATGTATACACACACATATATATATACACACATATACATACACATATATACACACACATATATATGCACTATATATATATATATATACATATATATATATATATATAGTGTGTGTGTGTGTGTGTGTGTAACACTAATATATTATTATAACCAGACAATGTCTGTCCTTAATATGTTATTTAGTGTCAGCTAAATGGCTACTCTAACCAAGATATTGCCCTTCCCTGTGTTTTTTCATATATTGTTAAAAAATAAGGGAAACACTAAATATGATTTTGGAAATAATTTTTTCCAGTGTATCCAATACTACCACCTCAAGGAAAGTGCCTTCGCTGCTATACTCAAAAAGATAAGTAGATGTCACCATTGTTCTTTTCTTCTTCTTCTTTTTTTTTTCTTTCCCTGAAGCTCACCTTGAATGTGGTGCCTGATTTAATGAAATTCTTTTCTAATACATTATCCAAGGCTGGATCCAGCTCCTCACGAATATCCTCAATGAGAAGGGGTCGGCCCAAGGAAAGGCTGTCTTCCAAGTGTGTGCGGAAATATTTATGGTTCAGAGATGTTACCTAGAAATGGAGTTCATTACTACATAAATGTTACAAAGAATGTGCTTATTCCTAATGGAAACAAAGAGATTTGCTGGACAAGTGACTAAGAATTTTAAGGGCTATATAGGAAGCCTTACTTAGGAAAAATAAAAGTAAGAACATTTTATTTTCAAAACTTGGTAGGCCATGACTTTCTGGAAGCCCTGGATGTGCAACTGAATCTCTGATCAAAACAGGAGTCAGGTGGCATTCCTTAAAGGGAATGTCACAGCTCTGCTCCTACAGATGGAAGAGAAGTAATCAAGGATTAAACCTGTCATGCTTACATAGTTAGTTACAATGTAACTAAGAGAAAGCAAAGTAACTTGCACATTTGTGCTATTCATTTATCTCCTCAGGACCACGCACAAGATGATCAAGTAACTAAAAAAATAAGCATAAGAGCGTCAGAAATTATATACTGAGTCAAACCAAGGGTCCATCCATGTATTCTGTCTCTGACAGTGGCTCAATGGAAGAATATGATAGACACTTTCCATAAGATCAACTTAAAAGACTGTGTGTTCACTTTTTACATTACATTTGTAAAAAATTAGAATTCTGAATGCCTGGTGGGGCCCCATTTCTAGTTCAGTGTTTGTTGATTAGTTAAAATAGACACACTGGGCTGGTTGATCTTCGCATTAGCTAAGCGGCTTTGAACTCTTAACTTCTTTGATCCCTCCCCCTGCCTAAAAGTGAGGATTCCACAAGCTTCAGTCCTTAAATCTCCATCTCCTTATTCTCTACCCACTGGATTCAGCTATTGCCTCTACGCCACTGTGAGTGCTGATCCTAAGATACAAGGAAGATCCGCTGGGACAGCAGGTCATGAAAAGAGTGGAATTAAAAAATATTATCTCTCGGGGTGCCTGGGTGGCTCAGTCGGTTAAGTGTCCAACTTCAGCTCAGGTCATGATCTCACAGTTCATGAGTTTGAGCCCCGTACTGGGCTCTGTGCTGACAGCTCAGAGCCTGGAGCCTGCTTCAGATTCTGTGTCTCCCTCTCTCTCTGCCCCTCCCCTGCTCATGCGCTCTCTCTCTCTCTCTCTCTCTCAAAAATCAATAAACATTAAAAAAATTGTTTTAAATATTATTTCTCACTTGCTATGAAAAAGAGATATGGAATTGAAAAATTAAATAAGCCTACCCTTGTCCTGTTTTGGATAAGAAGGAAATGACTAAAAGAAAAAAAATCCTGCACATGAAGGAATTTGTTTCCCTGGATGGATAGCTTTATTTACACAAATGATGAGCTGTGAAAGACCTCATTATGAGCTGACAAGGTAAATGAATCTAAACAAAGAGCTTTAACCAGCTTTTTAAACAAGATGAAACAAGGTCCCAATGAGACGAAATATAATTGTCCTGCTCTATTTCCTAAGGAGTAAACTCTGTTTTTGTGATTTCCTTCCTAAGTGTGATGGTTCATATCATGTGTCAATCTGAATGAGGTAGGGGCTGTCCAGGTACCTGACAAACATTATTTCAGGCTGTGTCTGTGAGAGTGTTTCCAGAAGAGATTGGTCTTGGAATAGGCAGACCGAGTAAAGAAAATCATCCTCACCTACTTGGGTGGGCATCATCCACTCCATTGAGGGCCTGAATAGAGCCCAAAGGTGGAGGAAGAGCAAATTTGCTCTCTGCTTGAGCTAAGACATTCATCTTCTCCTGCCTTTGGACATCAACAACCAGCTCTTGGGCCTTCGGACTTGGATTGGGACTCCTATTACTTACTCCCCTGGATCCCAGACCTTCAGAGTTTGGACTAGAACTACATGACCAGCTCTCTTGGACCTCTAGGTTGTAGACAACAGACTGTGGAACGTCTTGGCCTCCCTAATCCCATGAGCCAATATCTCATAATAAATCTTTTTCTATGTATCTGCATTTACATATAGATATCCTATGTATTCGGTTTCTCTGGAGAACCCTAATACACCAAGAAATTGGGGCGCATGGGTGGCTCAGTCAGTTAAGCGTCCAACTTTGGCTCAGGTCATGATCTCGCATTTTGTGAGTTTAAGCCCCACATTGGGCTCTGTGCTGACAGTTGGAGCCTGGACCCTTCTTCAGATTCTATATCTCCCTCTCTCTCTGCCCCTCCCCTGCTCGCACTCTGTCTCTCTCTCCCTCAAAATAAATAAACATTAAATTTTTTTTAAAAGAAATAATAATTTTCAAATTATCAATTTATTTAAGATAACTTTTAGCCAACTTCAATGCCTTTTATAAATTTGAAATAATGGCTTGGAGTCATAATTTCATATTTAATTAACTTTATTTTCTTGTGCAGTAACCCTAAGTGGTAGCTACCAACAGAGCCTGGATCACCTGCAAAGATACTCTGGTATTGGGTCTTTACAAGGTGGTCAGTGAATTCTCTATAGGGAAACTTGATGAATACCTTCCCTTTCTGGAAGTCTGAGCTGAAGGTTCTGGGGATGGTGTTGAAGGTGATCTTGGCAAAGCTGCCAAGGTAGAATGTAGTCCTAGGCATACAATACATGTTTTGTTTTTCATTTATAAAGTGTTTCATTTTTCATTCTGTTTTCCTTCCCAAATAAAAGAAATACTATTTTTGTTTTATTCTGTCTTCATTTATGTGTGTTCGCGCATGTGTTTATCCACATATTTTAAAAATAATGTCTCCTGAGTAAGGAGAATATAGTTCAATCTTACATTCCAGCAGTCAATGTCTTTAAAAATACATTAAGTATCTGTGGCATATTTCTATTACTTCCTCGAGAAGATTCATGGGACTGGGTAACAGCAGAAAGGACATTATCGAAGGCTATCAAGGAGCTTAATGCCAAAATGGACAGACAAAGCTATGATCAGGAACATTAAGAACAGGATGAGTAGGGAGATGGACAGTCAGAAGAGGCAAGAGGAATGGAACAGGGGACACATTCTAGCTGCATGGATCCAGGAAATAAAGTTCAGGGGTAGGAATGCTCCTGTTTACTCCACCCATGCATTCCTTCTGTGAAGACAGCTCCTCTGAAGCTACATTCCCACTGGCTTCATTTCCCTTAACACTCCTCTTCCGTTTATACTCTCTGACCCTGTCTGGGATTTCTCTGGGGTTTGTAAGTAAACAGACTGATGCATTGTGTTCTGGAGTATCTGTAAGATGGGAGTATCTTAGAGGTGTTCCTGAGCATCAGGCAGCACCCAGGTGTCAATGAAGCCCTCATCTCAGAAGGAAATCTTTCAATATTTTACCATTAAATGATGTTTGTTGTAGGCTTTTGGTAGATGCTCTTTATGTGATTAAGGGAAGATTCCTCTTATTCTTAGTTTCTTGGAAGTTTTATCACAAATGGGTGTTGAATTTTACCATGTGCTTTTTCTGCATTTATCAAGATGATCACATGATTTTTCTGTGTTTTTTTTTCCTTGTAATGACGTTATACTTTGATTAATCCACTTAAGTTCAATAAATACCAGAATCCCCACCCTATTGAAAGAACAGTACAGAAAATATAAAGATGGCATAAAACCATAAACCTTGTCGGCAAGAAGTTTAGGATACAGTAAAGATAAAAGACAAATGGGCAACGAACAGGAATTGAAGACAGACTCTAAGTTCATGTTGGAAATCCAAACAAGACATTGTGAGCATTTAGGACAGGCTATATTAAACTGGGGACACAGGGAAGTCTTGATGAAGGCCGTGTTGGAGGTGTGGGCTTTGAAGAACATTCAAGATATTTATCTGGGATATAAGTGAAGTGGGAAACAGGGTGAAGAAAGACACCCTGGTCAGTAGAATAGTTTAAGCAAAAATATGGAGCCAGGAGACTCAGAACCCTGGGAACACTGTCTGGGAAACAGTGAATAGTCTACATTGGTAGTTAAATCAAAATATTGACAGTAAACCTGAGATGCTGGAATCCTGCCCTTGTTTACCTCTACCTTATAATTAACACCTTATTAGACCCCAAGTCCAAAACTGGACTCTAGGATGGTGTGGAGAACCAAGTGCCTGAGGTAGGTTGGTGCAAATAGCCTTACACTGAGGAGCCAGGAGTTCTATTTTTACTGCTTCCCTGTAAGCCCAAGCCCAAAGCCCCGAATAAAAGCTATATCCAACACAGACGAAGGCAACAGAACCAGGAAAGGGACAGAGAGAAGAGAACATCATGAGAGAAACCAAAAGGAAAAATAATCCAAGCTCTTGCCCTAAACCACTGTTATAAAACTCAAGGGTGTAAATTAACAAGCAATTGTCACAGAGATGACAACTTTATGACTGGCAGATTCAGCTGAAATTTCAGGGGAAATTTCATGATTTTAAGATTGCTTTCCCATATACCAAGCAGCACATACCTGCAAGTCATTTTCTCTTTCCTTTGATTTAATCCAAGTTTTGCCTTGAGTTTGTGGGTCAATGAGGAGTGGGTATCTGGTGGCCTTTGTCACAATGATGCCATTCTGAATGGAGAGGTCATCTCCTGGTAATCCCTGCAGCCCCCACTCCCCAATCTAAATAACAAGAAATGGATATGGCCAGTCAGAGGAGAACAAGAATGCTTTCATTATTAATTAAGAGTGCCACAATATTAAAATAATTTAATATTAGAATATATTTTTTTTCCATTGAGACTATGCAATGGGTACCTAGAAAAAAACTCAAACTTGTAAATATGAACCAAATAACATTCACCTAAAAAAATAAATTTACAACCTAACAAATCCTTCTCTAATAACCCAAGACCAGGGTTTAGTCCTTTATGTTATATATCTTCAAACTTATGAGGAAATATTACAAAATCTATGAATTTTTGAAGCATTGCTGTTCAACATGCAGAGAACATAGGGGCTCAAAATACAGTAAGACTAGGTGGATGGTGGAGTTGGTGGAGATGATGAAATATTGACCTGTCAGGAAAGATAAGCACCAGGGGTTAAACCTCAGAAAACTCCCCTTCCTGCCCTTTGGCTTTGTTTACATGGGGGGCAGGATTTGTATAGCTGGAGGCAGAGAATTTATGACAGATAAGGTATTATATTCGCAGGTGCTCATCAATGATTTAAATATATATATTTCCGGGGCACTTGGGTGGCTCATTTGATTAAGCATGGGACTCTTGATTTCAGCTCAGGTCATGATCTCGCCATTCATGAGATTGAGCCCTGTGTCAGGCTCTGAGCTGACAGTGCGGAGCCTGCTTGGGATTCTCTCTCCTTCTCTGCCCTTCCCCACTTGCTCTCTCTCAAATAAATAAATGCATAAACATTTAAAAAATATATATACATGTATATATATATTTCCTGGGGTGCTTGGCTGGCTCAGTCAGAAGAGTGTGTGACTCTTGATCTCGGGGTCATGAGTTTGAGCCCCACGTTGGGGGCAGAGATTACTTTTAAATTAATTAGTTAATTAATTAACAAACAAACTTAAAAAAAATATATTTCCTTTCCGAATTACAAGGGAATTGCCAGCCTGCCTCCATGCCGTCAGTAAGATCACCTGGGATCCAAAGAAGCAACCAGCTTCCACCTTCATTAAATTATCCTAACAGCCCCCAAAGGTCATAATTAATATCCTGGCCTGCTTTGCCTCATCAGTGTCCGTTGCACCTTTAGTACATTATCTAGTCCCTGTAACAACCAGTTGAACATTGTTTGAATTGGAAAAGATTAATTTTTTTAACTTTTAAATGCAGATAACATGAAACTAATAGCATGACTTCCCTCAGGAAACAGCCACTGGGGAACATATTTACAGATCAGAAAGCAGCTCATGAATACAAATTGGCTGGAAAGCACTTAATGCCATAGGAGCTCTGCAAGATAGACTTAAAATTGACAGTGGCATCGAATTCCCAGCAAGGAAGGCTAGTACAGCGGGACGTGCCATCACTCAGCGATACCACAAAGGGCTGTTGTGCTATGCTGTTGGACACTACGAAAAGATGGTTAATCATCGAAAGAAGGTTAATACCAGTACTTACGGCCTAGCTAATGCCTATAATCACCTAAAATGTTTGAGAGTGTGACTTAAGAGGAGTGGTGTAAATAATGGAAAGTTATAAGAAGAACTCAATATTACCAAGCCTATAATTCATGAAGGATCTTTTTTTTTTTTTTTTTTTTTTTTTTTTTTTTTTTTTTTTGGAAGATTTTATTTTTTTATGCAATCTACCCCCAATGTGGGGTTCGAACTCAAGACCCGGAGCTCAAGAGGTGCACGTTCCACTGACTGAGACAGCCAGGCGCCCCCACGAATGATCTTTTAGTTCACAGGAGTGCAATTGAAAATATTTTAAAAGCAAGATTTCTTAAACAGAAAGGAACTTTTATACCAAAAAAAAGGTGGTTGTTTTTTTTCAGTAACTCTTAAGCATTTTCAAAACAATCTTTTCAATGAAATGAAAAAAAAAAAGGGAAAAACTTAGGTGTACCTTGGTTTCTTACTAAATAAGACTGAAATTCAAATAGTATTACAAGGAAAGTGACACTTACGGTTGGCGGGTCCACCAACATTGAAATAAGATTCAGGTTTTCGGTGAAAGGAATCTTCCGAGCTCTCAGTTCTATCTCCCACTGATCTTTAAGCAAATAGTTCCTAAATATCTGATTGAAAGGACCAAGGTAGGAAAGGAATCCAGTGCACAGAAGAATGTCACCTACAAGTCTGTTAGGAAACGAGACAAAGTGAGTACCTGACACATGTGAGCTCTCCCATTAAGGTCATGTACTAGTCCATGTTACTAGACAAAATCCTTCTCGGCTTCCTGCTTAACACTTCGAAACCAGACATGGAGAGACCATGCAAGAGGGAGCCCCCAAACCCAAATGCGGGTAGGAGGGGCCACATTTGGTGTAGACCAAGGAACAAGAGAGAAACTGCTTCCTTGAAGCCTGCAGGTCCAGAGCCCTGATGCCGAGGGAAAAAAAGCATCCTTTTCCCATGCCTTGGTCCTGTTCAGATTCAGTCTTAATAAAATTATTTTCTTCTCCCTGTCCTGTTCCCCCTCTGTTCCTCCCACTTCTTGCCATTCTCTACTCCTCTCTCATTCCCCTCTCTTCCACCTTTCTGAGGACACCAGCAGACACGAGCACAAGTCTGCCTTGTATTTAGAGCAAACCACTGATCCACATGTTCAAAATCACTGAGATTAAGAGTATAGAACTGGACAACATATGTAGATGGTTCTGGAAAAGCCAAACAGTATCAGAAGAACTCTTGTACTAAAACCCCACACTGCTGAACCAAAATTGAGACTAAACGTGTTTCACAAACGTTTCATCCCTCTTTGTTTTACTGAGAGTGCGTGACTTAAGCTGTGAGATTCAGAAATGGTTGGTAGGGAGATGAGGGAGTGAAGCATTTCACTGGGGAGATATATTTTATTTTCTCTAATGTCACAAAGAGGTGGTGTTTGGAGTAATGATTAAGAAGGAAAGCAATTATAGCAAAGGCCAAAGTTTATACCTGTTAATCTGGGCTTTGAACTCTTTGCTTTGCTGGGTCCATCGGACCTTTTCTCCACTCAGCCCATCGATGAGAGTGGAAGCTGCCTGCATCTTTTTCCGGCACATATCTGCATCATTTAGCAAATCCTGGATTCATAAAGGGAGAGTGTCTCAAAGAACTTCCTTAAGTGCTTAATCAAACATTCACTGTATTCACACATAAACACATATGAGGGAATTTCCTAATTTGCAAAATAAATATAATCTGAAAAAGCAATGTGAGTGAAGCTTTACATGTTAAATTCTGGTAATTACTTCATCATATAGTTATTTTATCTTGCGAAATTTCAAGGAAAGCGATTTTGTAAGAGAGACTCCGAATCACATAAATTAATACAGTATTTCTATTCAGTGATTTCAAAACACAATCAGATCAATACAATACACCATTTTAAGTCTTGGATTTGATAATTCTGAGTTCTTGGAAGTTTACAAAGTGTTTTTACTTTTCCTCAGAAAAACTCTACACAACACTGATGTGCCGCGGCCAGCTTTTATCAACTCAGAAGAGCCAATTATGACATTTCCAGAAAACTTGGATGGTGTTGAACACATCGTATGATTTCATTTATATGTGGCATTTGAGAAACAGATGAACATAGGGGAAGGGAAGGAAAAAATAAGATAAAAATAGAGAGAGACAAACCGAAAAAGACTCTTAAATACAGAGAACAAAACTGAGGGTTGCTGGAGGGGAGGTGGGGGGGGGAATGGGTTAAATGGTTGATGCACATTAAGGAAGGCACTCGTTGGGATGAGCACTGGGTGTCATATGTAACAGATGAATCACTGGGTTCTACTGAAACCAAAACCACACTGTATGTTAACCAACTTGAAATTAAATTTTAAAAAAGAAAAAATATATATAAGCTTACAATTAAGCTATATTAAAAGCAAAGGTAACAAGTAATAAAAACCCATCACCTCCTTATTATTTGCTACATTTTTGCCTTATCTATGTGCTTCAGGTCAAGTCAGCACTGCACCTGCATGGTGGTATGTAGTAGGGCTCAGTATGTAACAGTGCTAAACATGTAACAGTACAGTATATGAGAGTGCGCTGCTGTGCACCTGTTTCCAAACATGTGTTCACTGTCAGCGCATCAATAGCTTAAAACTGGCAGTGGTGGGAGTATCTATGCCACAGAAAATCAGAAAACAGTGCAGATCAGGGCTTTCTTTTTCCTGGGGCCCCTGTCCCATGAGGTCATGTTAGGGTCCCCATCTGACAGATAAAGCTCCATCAGTTGCCTCCAGCTGCATAGTGAATAAGTTTCTGCACCGAATCTCAAACCCAATTTTCTAACCTCCAAATCAGTCCCCTTAGGGTATGACATCGCAGCTTACTCTTACCGAAAATGATGATTAAAAACACACAAAAAACTTTAAAGTGTCAAAAATCGAAAACAGGTAGCCATAGCCAGTGAAGGGCAGTCAGGTAAATACTTTTTTTTTTTTGGTCATAAACATGTGCCTCATTTACAAATACAACACATACTTGTGTAAAATTTTGATACTTTGTTTCCATAATTTTGTATACTTAATCTCACCATTTTCTCATTCATCGCTGCATCAAATTTTGCTTGTACTTTATCCAGCTCGGCTTGTTTCTCATCCAGCAGTTCCTGTGCCTTCCCCAGCTCAGCATTGGCGACTGCTAGGCGGCCCTCCTGCTTGGCCAGGTTAGCCTTACAAGGAAGAAGAGGTAATTGTATGGACTTGTATTAGGTCTGCCCAATATTTGTGTTTTTTTTTTTTTTTTTTTT